TATTTAATTCAGAAATATTAAATTTGGCACAAAAATTAAAATGAAATTGTCTTTTGTATAATTCTATTACTTTGATCATGTATTGATCACTTCAATTCCTTTTGCTTGATATATTACCAACAAGTGATTGTATGATCTCTTGATCCAGAAATAAAGTTATTCCTCCATTTGCTATACACCAAACACCAAACATCGTCCTCATATACTTCATAAGTATTAGATAGTTCGCAAACTGTTTCAACATAATGATAAGAAGAATATATCATTTTAGAAAGTAGTAAAGAGATCCTATGAGATTGTCAAAGCTTATATTTATTTTTTCCCAAGGCTCTATCATGGATTTTCAGTAAATAAAAAAGTTGATATTTGAGTTTTTTTTTCTCGAGACCATAATTTCATCCTGATATTATCATTAAAGGAATTATCTGCAAAAAATTCATTTGTTTAGATTTAAATTAAATCCGATTCATAATTTAATCGAAAGTGACAGCCTTTATTAATATTAAATTTTTAAAACGATATCAATTTTAATTTATTAATAATCTTTAATAAGATTATTGTGATTTTAAGGGAAAATTATATAATAATTAAATATTTCATAATTAAATTCTATTTATGTCATAAAAATCCAGCATCTCCAATTCTTCATCAACTATATTATTTATTTTAAATTATTTTTTTCTTTCTTGTAAAGATAGAATTCCAATATCTTCATCATTAAGTGTTTAATCTTCTTATTCTTTTGAGTGTGGTTCAACTTTACTTAAAGGGTCTATTGCTAAGGTAGTTAATCTTAAATGCCCAAGTTTTACACCTATAGAATGACATTTTTTTATATCACTCTAAGGTTTATTTGAACGAATCAAAATATACATCCTTGAAATTTCATAGAGCATATTTACGTAGGTTAGCTTTGTTTCTATTTTCAATCTTATATCCTTATAAAATTTTTTATATTCATTTAAATCAAGTTATTAATGTTAAAGAGTAACTTTAATGATGTCATTCTTCCAATTTTTTTAAATTTGTAATTTAGAAAATTAAGGATAATAATAAGTAATCATGTCATGGATTATTTTTTCATTCAAAAAATAAGAATTAAAGAAAACAATAATGTGCCTAAACATAAATAAAAGTGAAACAATTGAACCAATATTAGCTAACAAATCGCCTGCATTAGGATACTCTAGAATGGTTTTAATCTGGTTTCCTTTCATAACCACATAAAGAGAAGCATAAGTTTCAACACCAAAAGCTTATTTACAATATTATATTGTATTAGTTTATGGTTAGATCAAAGCTCCATTTACATACTCTAATTGCTTAGGTGATCCAAAAAGAATTGAATCTTTTACTTCATAAAAGCTACTTTGAAGAAATGTATTTAAAGTATAACAATTCAGTTATTCTATTGACACAAAGAATTCTTAAATACTTGATTCTATTGAACCATCTTATGAATTTATTTGTTTGTATTTGATCTACATTATGATTATGTTCTAAGCTTAACTAAAAAACTTATTGCTGATTTCTTCAGATGCACATTGTTCTCCTTCTACTAAGAGCTCTGGTGTACATCTTACGATTTAGATGTACGTTTCAGATGTTGTAATTAAAATATTATTGAAATTGGTGAATCCTAATCTTATTTAAGGAATTATAAATTTATTTCCATAATAAGAGGTTTCATTCGATAAACTTAACAGTTTAGTTTCAGTGTATGTATAATTTTCAGTATAAGTGATTAATGGCAGAAGAACTTTAGTTTCAAATGGGTCTATCATATTCTCATCATATTTATAAAAACATAGTTTGATTAAGTCGTAGTTAAAGTCCAACAATGAAAAGTTTGATACATATACTGAACTTGATATTTTAGGGCTAAATTGATTTGTATGCCATAAATATATGACCCAAACTGTGTAAAATAGGCTTACAGAACAAATTAAAAATGTAATAATTCCTCCTAATATACTTTTATAAATGGACTATTCCTTATCGATATGTTACACTAAAGGAGCACCAAAAAAATCAATCTTTTTGATATGTTTCACTAGACTACTCATATTTAAATAATATCAATTTTTAAAATAAAAAAAATTGCAAATTAACTAATGAAAATTTTTGGAGTTGTTAGAAAGAAATTTTATAATTTTTAAATCTATACACCAAAATAACGCAAATTCATATTATACTTATAGAATTAATTAAAGTTTGTTAAACTTGTTAAATAACCATTCCCCTAAAAAATATTAAAATTTATTCATGAATAAAGTTAGGGAATTTAATTTAAATTGGGAAACTTAAAGTATGTAATATATATTTAGGAAAAATTCATATTAGATCNCTAAACATAAATAAAAGTGAAACAATTGAACCAATATTAGCTAACAAATCGCCTGCATTAGGATACTCTAGAATGGTTTTAATCTGGTTTCCTTTCATAACCACATAAAGAGAAGCATAAGTTTCAACACCAAAAGCTTATTTACAATATTATATTGTATTAGTTTATGGTTAGATCAAAGCTCCATTTACATACTCTAATTGCTTAGGTGATCCAAAAAGAATTGAATCTTTTACTTCATAAAAGCTACTTTGAAGAAATGTATTTAAAGTATAACAATTCAGTTATTCTATTGACACAAAGAATTCTTAAATACTTGATTCTATTGAACCATCTTATGAATTTATTTGTTTGTATTTGATCTACATTATGATTATGTTCTAAGCTTAACTAAAAAACTTATTGCTGATTTCTTCAGATGCACATTGTTCTCCTTCTACTAAGAGCTCTGGTGTACATCTTACGATTTAGATGTACGTTTCAGATGTTGTAATTAAAATATTATTGAAATTGGTGAATCCTAATCTTATTTAAGGAATTATAAATTTATTTCCATAATAAGAGGTTTCATTCGATAAACTTAACAGTTTAGTTTCAGTGTATGTATAATTTTCAGTATAAGTGATTAATGGCAGAAGAACTTTAGTTTCAAATGGGTCTATCATATTCTCATCATATTTATAAAAACATAGTTTGATTAAGTCGTAGTTAAAGTCCAACAATGAAAAGTTTGATACATATACTGAACTTGATATTTTAGGGCTAAATTGATTTGTATGCCATAAATATATGACCCAAACTGTGTAAAATAGGCTTACAGAACAAATTAAAAATGTAATAATTCCTCCTAATATACTTTTATAAATGGACTATTCCTTATCGATATGTTACACTAAAGGAGCACCAAAAAAATCAATCTTTTTGATATGTTTCACTAGACTACTCATATTTAAATAATATCAATTTTTAAAATAAAAAAAATTGCAAATTAACTAATGAAAATTTTTGGAGTTGTTAGAAAGAAATTTTATAATTTTTAAATCTATACACCAAAATAACGCAAATTCATATTATACTTATAGAATTAATTAAAGTTTGTTAAACTTGTTAAATAACCATTCCCCTAAAAAATATTAAAATTTATTCATGAATAAAGTTAGGGAATTTAATTTAAATTGGGAAACTTAAAGTATGTAATATATATTTAGGAAAAATTCATATTAGATCATTCTTTTTCCCAAAATAATTTGAAAGTATAAATATAAGTTGATGGATAGGATTTAATATTTGAAAAATTGGATAAAGTATTAATTCTACAAAAGAGTCAAAGCTATGCATATATTATTTTATTAAATCAAGAACCTGAAACTTATTTAGAATAAAGGATTGAGGCTATGTAAATTACTCATAATTGGATATCTACTTTAAAACGTAATTATTTTTGAGGTGTCATTAGTAGAAATAGTTAATGTATGAAATTCAGAGGATTTATTTAATTATTATTATAATGTAGTTTAATATTGTAGACTTAACCTAACTTTCATGAATTAAATTATTTTAAACTCCTACTCGATACAATCCATTTTAAGACAAAGAGGAAAACTATCAAGAAAAATAATTCAAATGTTAAAGGGTTAATTTCTTCTGATTTAAAAATCAATTTTAGTTAATCATATTATTTGTGCTACATGATAACTTTATTTAAATTTCTTAGCCGCCCATTAATTGCTTATTTAAGGAGCTTCATTAAATTTGGTTAGTGTTTTTAGTAAGAAAATTGTAAAGTAAAAGATAATATAAAATTGATCTCAGAATTTCCTAATACCAACCTCTTTTTAATTTTACTTTTTATAATAAATATATAAAATGATTATTAAACCTTATTGATTTGAAGAATTAATTTAATAACATCATATGAATATTATAATCAATGAATTAATGTAAACTATCTATTAAAAATCAAGGTATTATTAATAAAAAACTAATTATATTAATTAATAACTCATATCAGATTATCAATCAACTCTAGTATTTTAAACATGTATAATAATTTTATTTTATCCTTAACCTCATCAACAATAATTTTGCTTACAACTACGATCTTGCGTTCAACTATTTCCTAATTATTAAAATGAAGCCAGTATGTATTATTAAAGTATTTAACCTATTGAGAGCAAAAAATTGAACTAATAATTTCATTTTCTATTTAATTTATTTCTGACTAAGTAATTTAAAACCTAAATTCCTTTTCATACTCATTTATGGAGTTTGATATTTCATGTTTAATTGATTATTAAATATTTTATTTTAATTATAACTCTTGTTAGGCTAAAAATTCTCTTTTCTTTTCGACAAAATTTTTATAATCTAAATTAGCTTTTGAATTTTAAGCCACCTACTTACTTATAATTGGAATTATATATTGCAATAGGATTTCAATTTACAATTATCCATCCTACTTTACATGTTCAATAATTTAATTGATTTGGATATTCACTGATTCTATTTATTTATTTCTGTCTGAATTGATAGAATCATCATAAATATCCAAAAACTAAAAAATATTATTCTAAATATTCTCTTTATAATTATATTTTTATAATAAATCTTGAATTGATTTCTAAATTTCAGAAATGTTTGAATTGTCTTTGCATTTATCAATTATAGATTGTAATATATCTTTTTTACTTAATGGAGTTATTTTTTGTTTTAAACCTATATTTTCAATACATTTTTCTAAAATCAGTTTGACAATAATTTTAATTTGAGTAGTAATTTAAATTTTTTTTGAATACTTTTCATAAAATGGACATTAATATCCTGTGAAATGTATTTCATATAATAGAAATTGAGAAATGAGACTAGGACTAGAACTAGTTTACTCTTATACGAGCCAGATTCTATTTTCATCAAGATAATTATGTTTGATTTCTTGAGATTCTAAAAAGTCAACCTTTTCTAATAATTTTAGAACTAAAACGAGTAACTACTCTAAATAAATTCTAACTAAATCGTTTTCCTATATTATTTATAATGATTCATTAATTACAATCCAAAATAACAAATCTGATAATCTAATACATCTTAAATGATTTATGTAATATGTAATTGTATTTTTCTCGAAATTTATATTAAATATTCCAAAATCATCATACTAAAGAACTTTTAAAATTTGATCAATGTTTTTAAAAGTATATATCTCTTTAGATTCATAATTTAAATTTAGCATTTAAAAAATATGTATTTCTATTAAAAATAATAATTATTAACTTATAAATAAAATTGATTAAAATTTTATTTTATTAAAATTTTTCTAACTTCACATAATTTTAAGATTTTATTGAATAATCAAGTAATGGACAAGGTTGGATTTTGTGACTTATTTAACATAATTCAAATTGCACAAGTAGACTTATGGGCATAAAAAATGAATAAAAATTAAATAAAACAATAATTTAAATAATTTTAGTGGCGCTGGATTATAAAGTGAATAAGGAGTTTAAAAAATTGATTTTAGATTGAATAATGGGAAAATTTTGAGAAATGGAATTAAATAAATTATTCATGAAGAATATAATTGTAATTGAAATAATATATTAATTATAAATTTAGTTAGTGATGGGATCAAATAGTGAGAAAAAAGTTGATAAGATTGAGGGGTGGATTGACTTGAATTTGAATAGTTTCGATATGTAGAATTATCTATGATTTAATCAGCTTCAACAATATTTGAAAGACATTAACTAGATATTTAGATATCATTGCAATATAAACCATTCTATGCATCAAAATTTTTTATTCTTTGCAAGATTTAAATATCTGTGATCATATCCTGTAATAAATTACTTATATAAAATCAAATCACATTTGGTAGAATGGATTTTACAATGTTAGCATTTTAAATACCTTCAAATATAAATCCTTATAAGATGTATTCTTTTATATTTTTAGCTTTCTAGTTTGCTTCAGAGATGTTTAACTATAAGTAAACAAAACTGACCTAAGATTAAATCTTTTATGAAATTCTAATAAAGTTTTCGCTCATTATAAAGTTTATTATTAATCAATATTCAAACATTGAGAAAATAAATTTACCAAATTTTCTACAGATCAGAGATTATTTCAAATTAAAATATACTTTAAGTTTTCAAACATAAACTTCTTTAGAAATCAAATAACTAAAAAAATGACATGGAGATGCTTTCCTCCTTAATTTCAATCAAATCATTACTTGCTATATTTAAGAGATAAATAAATAAAATAGATATAATGCCAACCATAGTATCTAAAAGGATATTACCTAAAAAGTAAAGAATTTTAGTATAAATTACTTTTTGAAAGCACATTTATCACATTAACATGAAATATAGTCATCAAATTACTATAAAATGAAAATAGCCTTAATATCTATTATTACTTTAAAACTACCTTCATGAAAAAAATTGAAATTAAAATTTGAATTTTAGATTTTTTTATTCAATTAAATTAGTTTGTACAATAATTTTTTATAAATATTAGGTTATAGAAAATTCAGATATTTTAAAAAGATAAATAATGATTTATTTTTGCTAAATAATTTGATGAAGCACATAAATAATAAACAAAAAACCTTAATTTATAATACATTGAAACTCAGTATTTATCTATTGATCAAAGATTTGAAGAAAATTAGTTTAAACAATCAATAAGATTAGCAGGAATGCATTGATAAAAGAGTGAATCCTTAAAAAAGATAGAAACAAATTAATTCTAAATCAGCTTAATTGAAAGAACTTAAAAAGCTAGCCAGGTTTTGAGACATATGAAAGTGAATTTAAAGAAAAGCGTCGCTATTTAGAATCCCTTAATTGGTTATTATGATTTTTTGAAAAGATAAGAATTTTTTAACTAGAGTACTTGTCATTTAAACAATAAATCCATTAAACACTCCATAACTTTAAATAAAGCACTCTCAAAAATAATTTGTTGAAGGTGTTCATAAACTTTTTAATCAATATTATTGTGAGCTAATACATTAGCATCAACGTTTAATATTAAGGTTTAATTAATGGCCAAAACGATAAGATAAGCTATTGAGTATTATGCAATTAAAATAACAACATTTTGAATATAATAAATCACTAAATGCTTATCTCGAGAAAATGAAGTTTTTTATCAAAAATTTATGATATTAAGTTTATTTTCGGATTTAGAATTTCATCAATTAATGTAGATGCTTAAGATAAACAGGTAATAATTTACAAATAAATATTTATTTATCAAAAAATTTTCATGTGTTGTTGTTTAAGAAATGGCTTGGCAATATAAGCAGAGAAAAAAATTTTAATTACATTTAAAACTAACTTGATACAAAATTTGAATCTTTTATTGCCTATACAATTTTATTTAATTATTACATTGAGTAAACTAAAATCAGTTCAGAAACTCTAACCCTTCCACAATTCCATTTAATTAATAATTACTAAAAAAATAAAACTATCTGCAATCTTATATTCCTGAATTTAATGAATACATATATATATCATCTTTAAATCTATACTTTAATAATTTCTCTAATGAAATAACACTTTGTATTTTAAACAATTTGAAAATTTACTTACATTATATTAACTAAATTAAATATACTAAATTTTTTTTTCTCTTCATTTAATTATCTGTATTCTTAGAGAAATTTATTGTTAAAATCAAAGAGAAAAGTAATTTTTGTTTCTCAAAATAATGATCTGCACAAATTCTTATATAAACTGAAAGTGAAATACTCATTCAGATTTGTCAATCTAACACCCTGTTTTTTTGCTAATTAAGCATTCTCAAATCCCTTACTTTAATAATTTTTTCAATGAGGATTTATTAC